GGAAAGAAAGGCAGCGGGGCAGTTTCAGCCCGAACCCACACATGTCAACTTGTACAGATTGTAAGTTATAAGGATTTTACATCATAATGCTTAATGCTAATGCTAGCTGCCTGTCGCGTTCTCTCGTCCTGGCCACACCTCCGCTCTCTAACCTCCCCTTCCCTACCCACAACCCCTCCCCTATCCACTTTGATGCATTTTTCAAATTTCGACTTGGGGCGGAGTTATCTTTTCACAGGGGGGTAAGATACACTTTAAAAAATTATTCATTTTATTTAAGAACAAAACAAATGCTACACATACAACAAATAATAATACAACACAAATAAAATGAAAGGCAGCAGAAAGAAGAAAAATTTCCCTTTTTAAAATAAACAAATTGAAACAATAATAGTCTTCAAATAACAAAACATAACAAAAACTTTAACTCCCTCTCAAACAACGGTTCTTATGAATGCACATTATACAAGTTCATATTTCTTCAACAATCCAACTTTTATCATTCTCTTAAATAAATTTATTGAGTCAGCATTTTTATAATCACTTTCCAGATTGTTCCACAATCTTATTCCTTGGGCTGAAGTACATCTGTCCTTCAAATTTGTTCGAATTTTGTGCTTTACAAACATCTCTTATACACTTAAGGTTATAATTACTTACTCTCTTAACAAAATTTAATTGAATATTCAGGTCATACAATACAATATTGTGCAGTGTGTGCTCAAAATTTAGGAAAGTTTTAAAAAAGAAGTGCTATGACTAAAAGATATTTCCAATAAATAAATAAAAACAGAATTGAAAGCTGGGATTTTGAGAAACCAGAAAGAAAATCCAGCAAAATTCTGTCATAGGAGCTGAGACGTGCATCATCCTTCAGTAATCATCTATTAAATGACAAGTTTTCTACTAATAACTCTGGGAATCACTTTGTCGGTGCTAAACTATTTTTTATTCGTGTTAAATTGTGCTAAGTATCCTATTTTTATGGATCCATCTAAATTAACGAGTAAATTYTGTCCTTGACAGGCTGCTAATGGCAAAATGCTGAAAGAGCTAATTTAAAAGAAAGGGTTCTTTGCCAAATTGTCTCTTATGTGTCAACACAACGCTGGCTCTTCTTTTGAGTTTATGCCTAAATGATTTGTAGATCATATTTAAATGCTTTCAAAGTAAAAATACTCTGAAAATTGTCAGACACTGATGTGGACYAAGCAGCTAAAATCTAAAAATCTTTAAAAGACCTTCAGAAAGACTGAAAACTTATTAATCAAGACCAAAAAAAGGGGWACGATAAAATGAAAAGGAGGGGCGATTGAAGAGTTTTGGTCAGGACTGTAGGTATTAAGGGTCTCACATATCTTAATAGTAATTATATTAATAATAATGAATTGTATTTGTAACATATTACATTTACAGACAATCTCAAAGTGCTGCAATGGAATAAAACAATAAAAATAATTAATAAAATAAAAGTGAAAGCATTAAAACACAAAATACACAATAAAGAAAGGTAGTGAGTTAATTCAACACAAAGTAATTGATGAAAAAATGATTGTAGATGGGACAAAGCATTTAAAGGAAAATCATTGAAAGTATTTTGTAAAATGAAAGCTATTCAGGCCTGTTTTAAAACGTCATGGTCTGTGGAGTGGAATTTATGCACAAAAAATGACGTGTGCCTTCTTTTATTCTTTTCTTCTTCAAGTTGGGCAGCACGATGGATCAGTGGTTAGCACTGATGCTTCACAACAAGAAGGTMATAGGTTAGATCCCCGTTTCGGACTTGGGGTCGCTCAGTYCAGAGTTCACATGTTCTGTTRTCRTTGTGCTTGTGTGGGTTTTCTCTGGGTACTCTGGTTTCTACCACAGACCAAAAACATGTTAGACTGCTTTCAGGCCCAGGCCTTCCTCGCAAAGGAGACCTGCGATCTAATAATAGTTTATTTTTTTATTTTCCTTCTTTTATTGTAGGACTGCTGTTCAAACAGTATTTATTATTAAAGCCATGCTTTCAAACAAACTGCATTGCTTGAATGTTAAAAAGCCGTTCTGTGTCCTCACCAGTTTTCCCTTCTTTTCTAGGCTTTTCAGTTGGGTCCAACAGAAGCTTCTCAGTATTGGGTCTACTGGGTGCCTGCACAGTTTGTCGATGCAATCAAAGACACAGTCCTTGGAAAATGGCAGTATTTCTAATGTGCCTCTTTTGACAATGACGAACTGGGATTGAGAAGAGGGGCAAACGAAAAGTGAAACTGGAGACGACGAGACTTATTGAACTTTTTGGAATATATWGAAGGAAACTGACGGATGCCTGTGGACTAATCAGATTCTTTTTAGGTGAAAAGTGCACTGTGTGGCAGCATAACATTTTTCAGGCCCGTTGAGCATTCAAGGTTTTCAGCTAACCCAAGGGAAAACAATTTAAAACAAATGTACAGAAATTGCTAACARTTTTCTTCAGTTATTCTTAAAGAAATAAAAATTATTTAATGAAAATGGTTTACGTTGAGTTATTTCAACTTTACTTATTCCGCCTTTCCTGTCTTTAAATTTTATGTTTTTCACATCCGGATGAATTAAAATTTATCCTGCTTTATTTTGAAAGTTCTCATCCCGGAAGTTCTTGCTCAAGAAAAACTAACTTCCGGTTAGTGTAGTTTGGCGGGTTGGGAGAAATTAAAATAGTCTCTTCGGCCACAATGTTCGCTGTAGAGAAAACAGGCGGAGAGCAGAAACGTCCTCCGCCCGTGAAGGTGCTGTCCGGCCAGCTGAGGGCGGCGGGAAGCCGGGCGGCCACGGAGCGGCCCGGGGAGGGCTTCGTCATCAGAGCGGGCAGAGGTCGCTCTCTGCGGGTGTCGCTGGTGTGGATGCAGGGGACCGTACTGGAGGTTCAGCTGGAGAGGAATACCGTGCTGCTGKTGGATGAGACGGGAACATTTACAGTTCAGGGTATTAACAACATCCCAAGAGGAAAACCGTGTTTATTTCCAGGTAAAACTAAAATAAATTAAATCCAAGTTTTTAGGGACAGAATTAGTTTATAAACAAAACTTTTGTATTGAGCAATCACTTAATTTTTGTAGAGTAATAATGCAAACTGGCTTTTTTTTTTATTTTCCATGGGTGTTTTAAAGTTGTCACACAAATATCATTTCTTATTCATCTAAAAGCTGTGGAACTAGGAATAAATTTTCAGTCATGAACTTAACTTTATGTATTTTGTTATTTTTTTATTGTGACAATGAGAATTGTCTGAAGGGCTTTAACTTAAAAATCTAAAATTTAGTTTCATTTTTGAAGTGCAACAGTATTTTATTTTGAAACCCTCCAAGTCATTAGAGTCCCTATTAAATGCATTCATCTACAGGTCTGCATCTCCAACTCATTTCCTTTTAGTCTTGTTTCTGGTGTTTTTGCAGGGAAATACGTCATGGTGATGGGTGTCGTAGAGGCCGTCTCCCCTGAACCAGTGGTCCGAGCTGTGAAAATGGCCGACCTCTCAGACTTTGCTGTTCTCCACAGACAGATGTGGAAGCTGGAGGTGGAGGAGCTGCAGCAGATGTTGACCTAAATGCAGTCAGTTTGAACAGATGTTAAAGAACCTCAGAAAGACGGGAGACTTGACTTTTGGAGTGTCGGTGTATTGTGAGACGTTTGGACTGGAAGTGTCCAAAAAAGTGAAGCTGCAAGCCTCACTAAATGAATTACTGTTTTTCACATTAAAGACTCAACTCAGTTTAATAAAGGTTAACTTAAACAAACATGTCATCACCATCACAATTAAAGACTTGTATATTCATGATACAGTCAAAACAGTGTTCATATGTACTTGTTTTCTTAATATTTGTTTCACAGAAGTATTTCTCTCTCTTGCTTAGAAATGAACACTTAATAACAGCCTTTTCAGTAGATTATAAAATGAAGCTTTATTTGGTAGGGTATCCATTACATTGGTAACACTATTAGATAAATGGAAATTAAAATGACCCATTCAATGGTCAAACACAAGTATGCCAACTGAACTCTCCATTTATCTAATTCATACTTGAAGGTCATTAAAATAAACTGCTTTTGAAAAAAAAAAAAACTTTCTTTTAGGTTAACTAATCTGCACGTCTCTGATCAAGGTTAAACATGCTATTTTGATACCATTTTCAGCTGTTCAACAGAACAACGCGCAGCAAAGCTTCAGGTGTCACTCTGAATATTTGCTGCAGATGATAACACTCTGGTTGTGCTCAGAGAGAACCAGCCATCGATCAGAGGGACGGTCCTGAACGCCCTTCGTTTAAAAATCATGCTGTGGTCAGGTTCCATCCTGGCCTCAGCGGAGGCCCTCAAGAACAACCGGACTCTAGACTGTTTGAATACTGCATTATTTGCAAAGGGGCATGAATATTTTCATTACATCATTATTTAATGTCTTTAAGCAGAAAACTGTATTTTCCAAAGTCATTGTCATTCGGTGCTATAAGATGGTCTTTTCTGGCTTTGGCAAGTTTCATCAAAAGGAATTCTCTGCGCTCCCTCCATTCTTTCAGCTCCTGCTCCCCATGTGCCAGCTTACACAGCTCGTCCTCTGTGCACGTGCCTCTGAGGAATCTGAAACAAATCATTTATTGTTACACAAAAAATAAAATAAATCACAATACTGGCATTTAGAACCACAAGTGACACGCCTATTCGCCTAATAAACTCACCTCTCACAAACTTTGAAAGTGCCGGTGGGAAATCGGTACTGCCAGCAGTTCTGATCATCCTCAGAGTTAAAAACTCGCTCCTTGTGTTTTTCTGAAGTGATGTGCTGCTGCCACTGCTTCTCACTGTTGCAGTTTTTACCACACAGCCAACAGTGATTGCCAGCCTGCAACAATCAAAACAAATATTGAAGTAGACATRTCATGCTTTTAAATCCTTTTTCATATTTAAACCTTTCTGTTTGGCTCTATATAAAGTGGAACTCAATGATTTGGTCTGAATTCCTCCTCATTGTAACTCCACAAGCCCCTCTTTCACCCCTTTTCTGAATCAACTCGTTTTGAGGCTGTCTCTTTAAAAGCTAATGAGGCGCTTCACACCCCACCACCATCCAGCTTCCATAGTGGTCCATTCGAGTTTGATAAGAGGGATTTACAACTATATAGCAGTGTAGAAAAGTTTTATTTACAAATTAACTAAAAGATGTCAGCAACAGAAGACTTGTCCATCCAGCCTTACATGTTGGAGCCAGAGGATGAATGAAGACAATCAAATTGTAGCTGCTAAGTCCAGACCGTCTGTTCCGTTGCAAATTTTGTGACAGTTTAGAAAATGTCACAGAAAATAGACAAAACTCGACGGGTTGAAAAAAAAATGACCCAAACAATATAAAGATATCTACGCAGCACCAGTACACACTCCTACAGACTCCAAATTCACAACAAAATGCATTTAACGGCTAAAAAACTTGATTTTGCATGTATCTGTTAACATCTTAATACTAAAATCATTCTATAATTGAAGTTTAGTACTGTAAAACTTACATTTCCTAAATTTTCTGATTATCTACAAGCTATATACAAAGTCAATGTAACAACCAGATTTACTATAAGTATAGTGTAAAGCTATTACATCGTATTATAATTGTGGTTGATTTATTCACAGACAGCTGTGTGTATAACCAGGTCAAAGCAGATTGCATCTGAAGGCTTTCTAACTCACCACTTCCTCAGCATAGTCTGTTGGCATGTGGATCTGTTTGCCGTTCTCTCTGATCGAATTATTGGACATCTCCTCACCCCAGCCAGGTTTCTGAGACAGCAGCCACTGCTCATAAAGCTGATCCATATCTGGAACTAGAAGGCATTTAAAAATGTGAGCTGAATTACTGTATTTATTCATGTATAATACTAGAAATTTAACTCCAATAATCATCCATAAATTAGGGGGGTAGTATTATACACGGGTTATTAGTAATTAGATTTTTATGCTTTTTAAGTTCAAAAAATGATTGTATTATACATGAGTAAATACGGTACATCCCAGTTGTATTCTACTAATGAATGATGTCAACAGAACTCACTGTTGTTTTCCTTCATGTAGGTCCAAAGGTCTCTCTCTTCTACACTGTGAGCAAATGTGCAGTTCCCAGTGTACTGACACTTCTTGCCAGCTGTCACATGCATGCAAATCTACAACCAACCAAAAAAACATCTGGTTAATATTCCTTTGAAACACATTATTTGACAACTGCAAAATGTCGGAACACTCACCTCAAACTGAGACGGGATGGGTTTTTTGGTTGGAAGTGGTCTTACTGTTGTCCATTTTTTCCTTTCGTGGGAACTTACGAGCACAACTCGCCTTTCTTTTGTCCACCTGAGTCAGAAAGACACAAGAGACATGAGGCGCTGAACTCTTTTCATCTCGTTACACATTTAATGCGATGTCTAAAATTTAATACTCACGTGTGTCTTGCCTTGGCTGTGCAATACTTTTTATTTTTGTCAGCTTCATTTAGTTGGCCGTTTCTCCAGCACTGGCCACAAACAAACATCATCTTCAGATTTGGYGGACCAAACCGCCTTTGAGTGTTAAACTGTTGACAAAATTTTTAAAAAGGCATAAATAAAATAAAAACATACAATTAGCAGGCAGCAAGTTGCTGTTTTATTTAGGAACAGGCTGGTCTGAGATATCGACTGTGTACCTTGAGTAAAAATACAAACGTTTCACAGTATTAAATTAAAAAAATATTTTAAAATAAATGAAAATATTAATACTATTGCTGTCAAAATTATATATAGCTTAAAATTATTTTATTATTGGTGKAATAGCATTTTAATTTATTTTAGAAAAGAAGAATAATGTTTTACTCCTCTGGTAGAACAGACATTACAGCGTTTCCTGTCAGATAAAATGTACGAACACCTGATTTTACAAAGTTTTTTTTTTTCTCTCCCCCTAATTATTAAAGTTTAGGGGAATTCCCTCCTCGGTTATTGTACAGCTCAAAGCAACAGGTTGTGTAACAGAGGGGGAAATAGTAAAAAAAGAAATATATATGTTTTTAGGCATTTCGAAGAGCAGGAATGTTTGACAAAAACCATTTGCATACCCTGAAACCAGTAACAGCCCAGTTTCAATGTATTTAGAACAGAAGTATTTGCTGCTAAAGGTGTTCAGTACTAACCTGAAATACTACAGTATTATTATTGTGCCACCAGCTTGAGCGCAGAGTAACACTGATTTGCGTCTCCCTCCCAGCCTCCTCGCTCACGCTCCGTCTCTGCGCCGGCAACCCAAGTTTTATGTGAATGAAGCACATCACCAGCCAATCACAGACAGGGTTTTTTTCATCCAATTAAAGCATGTCTTGCAAATCGAAGTACTGAACCAAGAGGCGGAAGTGTCAAAATCTTCTATTTATTAAATCAACAAAATATGTTTAAAATATGTTTTTAAAAATTTGTAGCCCAAGAATATTTAGTGAAGCATAAAAATGTGGTCACTGTCATTGTGTATTTTAGGCAACATTTCTAAAACACATTAAGATGCATTACTTTCTGGTTTGGATATTATTTGTAGATGCAGTAATATTTTATAAT